TCTCGCTCTCGCTCTCGCTCTCGCTCTCGCTCTCCCTCTCTCTCTCTCTCTCTCTTGCTCTTGCTTTCTAGGGGTTCAGCATTCACAACTGGGACAAGCCGGGCGAGGTCACTGGTACGACGAGGGGTTTCGGGCCCGAGGCCTACCCCCGAAGTCCCCGAAAGGTTAATCCGAGTGCCCGACATTAGGGCAGGAGCGACCGTTACTTTCCCCACAGGCCATCTTTGGAAAGTTCACAGCGTGTCCGTAAAGCCCCCCCATTGTATGTGGGTCGTCTGGTGCTCGGCACTGCCCTCAGCCAACCGACCCTGCACCCTGCCAATGCTTGGGCACTTGAAAAGCAATGATGAAAGTGACTCCCCTGCTAGCAACGAGGCAGTCGATGTCGCTTCGCCTGGCGGCAGACGTGGGTCCCAAGCCCCCAACCTGGAGCTCGTCACTTCGGCTGCGTGGTCACTGAAACTGCTTTGCAAATGCCTGCAATGATGGGGTGAACACTCTGGCCGCTAGCCTTGTTGCGAACTTCGGACATTGTGGGAAAGATGTTCCGCTTTCTTGAGAGCCCGAGCAACTCACCCGTCTCGCATAGGTGGTCATCGTGATGGTACCACTGCTGGCGAATACCGATGATGGTGGGGATGAGGCCGAACGAGGAGCAGGAGGAGGCGATGTAAGTACGCGGAGAAGGACGACGACGAGGACTCCTGACGAGGATGAGGAGGGGCGGAAGGTCAATCCGACTGTGGTTTCATGACTTTCTGGTATCAGCAAATTCAACATCCATTTCCTCTCAGGGATCAAATGGATCGAATCCCATCTCAGAGCACGTTTATCTCCTGGCACGGAAGACACACTGCTCGTTCTGCCCTACCGAATGTTCCTCTCCAAGCAGCGTGGTGGAGAGGAACCTCTGAAAACTCCGTGTCCGAGTCCTGATTTCAACTCTGCTAAGCCGCTAAGCCAAACATCCTCTGCAACAAAGCTCTAACAACTCGTCCTGCCATTGGGGCCCCAAGGGAAGATTCGAGCACTCACTGGCTATGCGCATGACGGCCGAAAAAGAGCACAACGGCAACCTCTGAATCGCAAACAGGAGCTGAGTGGAGTGTAACCGCCGAGCTCTTGATTGTTGGGGAGGAGCTCTTTTTTGCACAGCTATGCACTGCTCGGGTCACAGGTAGGCCGAGGCCCACAAATATGTCACACATCACAGCAGGGAAGTACAGGGACAGACGGGAGCACATGCTCACATGGCCCCAGGCTGCCCTTGGCCTGAGCCCTGCGACCTCTCTGCCTTTCAATCATCTTCGCGTCTTTGGACGTTAGTCTGACTCCGAAGGCTCTCAGTCGTTGTTCGCAGCGATTGGGGGCACAGAGGGCTTCTGAAGGTGAGAGCTGCTCTGCTCTGCAGAGAAAACACACTTCTTAGGTCTTTGTCATTGGCCCACATGAATGTGTCGAGAATCGTCACGTAGTGTCGGTGATGCTGATACACTAGCCAGTAACTGCCTCTCTTTCCGGACGATTCGGAGACTTGAAGGCAGCAAGAGTTTTGCTTTGCATTTGCCATCTTGCTGTTTAAAGTCAGCGAACTCCCAGTGCAGCGTAGGCCTCTTGCTCCTTGTCCTGCACCGGCGAAACACCGCATGACTCTCGAAAGGAGCGTTACTAGACTTATATGACGACGTGGAATCTGGTCAACGCACAACAGATGCTAAAGGGAACGACTGCATGGCGTATCAGTTTACCCGGGGAGGCCGTGCTGCTTGGTGGAGTCTGGCCACGTGGGCTTATCAACTGGTTTCAATAGAAGGCCTGGCGCCACACCAGATGGAAGCACTGCTGCGAAGTCTGGGCAGAGGCAATGCAGGGAAGATGCTTCTCATGCACTTGAACCGTCTTGCTGAGATTGCAATGGAACTTGGGGCTCCCGGCAGACCAGACCGCACAATAGCCCTGCTGCCCTTCGATTACAATGCCCGCGTTCAACGCCTCTGCAAACAGCATAACAGAGCAAACCGAGGCCATGCACACTGAGCTCCGCACGTCGACGGCGGCAGTCACGGAGTCGTAGCGCACCTATGCTGTGCGCTTTCAACGCTGCGCATTGAGTTGGAAGCCAGAGAGGACGGGCGAATAGACTGTGCCTTGTCGACAACGTCACAGCGCCCGGCGAAAAACTCCTGCAGCCGAACTCGGTCCGGGTCCGGGCATTAATTTCTACCACGTCTGTCCTCTGTCCAGGAAGGGTCCAACCTCAACACCTGGGATGTTGACCACCTCGCCACTCTGGCTGAAGCTGTAGCCCCGCACTGGCGCTCACTGGGATAAAGGCTGATCCCCGCTGTCCGTGCCGATGCCAAGCCTCAACCAGTCTCACAATAAGGATGAGTCGGACAAACGATGTCACCGTCTGGGCCGAAGTCAATGCGAATGCTTCAGCTTCTTTGTCTTCCCGCCACAGCAGGAAGTAATCTTGGCAGGGGATGTCGTAGCACGAATCCGGGAACTTTGCAGGCAAAAGCTGAGGCAGCCCACTTCGTTTGGAATTGGAGAACACCACGCAGTAGCCTTCTGGCACGGCCTTCCGGAAGCAATCCAAATCATCTTTAGGAAGCCAAGACTTCCATCTCAGAGTCCCGCAGGTGAACCACGATTCAGACTCTCCACGACGGACCCTACCGAGGTGTACCTGGGCTCCGAGAGCCGAGTCTGAGAGCCTGCCGTGAGCCCTACACTGGGCGGGCCCCTTTTTTGCTGAGGCCGGTGCACCGATCTGTCGAGCAGCTGCACCTTGCCCGAGAAAACGTGCTCTGAACCTTCAGGGCCGATCGTATACCTGCAGAGAGACGCCGTGACGACGCCGTGGATTCTGGCGAAGCTGCTAAACACTGCTGGCAGGTTGCGTGAAGTCCACCGACCAGCGCCCAGCAGGTGCAGGGGTGGGCACAGGCGCCGCCGGAGGGGCTGCGAAAGGTTTGGATGTCCGAAACTTGTCTCCTTCCTGCACTTGGGGCCCCACCTGGTGCTGCGGGTGCTGGCGCTGGCGGGTCCCAACCTGCAGGCCCAGTCTCTCAATCTCGTGTTAACGTCAAGAGACGGGCATAAGCTTGGCAATGGGCTGGACTCCCCTGTGGTACAATTGGCATAAAATGTCCGGCCCTGCTCATCCTGCCGACGCGCGGTTGAGGCCGCAATGTGCAGTGCACAGGGCAATTCAAAAAGCGAGCGCGCAGTGCGCCTGGTGAGCCGTCCAACCTTCGGGAAGAGCCAGAGCTGGTGCTGGAGGCTCCCAGCTGGTTTCCCCGGTCCTCATAGAAAGAGCCCAGGCAGCTGTGTGACTGCGCAAGATCCGGTGACTGTCTCCCTCCGGGCTACGGGCGAGATGTTCGCGTAATACGTGCGCCCTGGTGATTCGAGGGCTTGCAAGGTTTTCGCGTGTCTGCGGCGGAATATCCGGTTCGGCATGCTGTGCTGAACTATCTGTCACTTGCTTAGCAGGTTCACGCGTCAGAGCCTTTACAAACGAACGCCAAAACAAGCAAGGACTGCAATTTTGCGATCTTCACCCTGACAGCGAGATCGCTGTAACACGGATCCCCATGATCACATGGCCACTTGTGTCCGATGGGAAATGTGCGTCCATTAATCGTCTGTAAACAAGTGAGCAAAGTGTCAGTATGTCTAGCTGGCGCATGTGACTTCATTAGCGGCATACTGCTTGTTCGCATGTGTCCAAGTGTTGACTTTCCGTCGTCCATACTTATGGTGATGGCTTCTTCATCTATTGCCCGGGCGTCATGGCTCACGCACAAGTACATGTTTGCAGTCTGCGTTACTTCTGTTACTTGACTTGGGATCGGCACCTAAACCTGGAAGTATGCTCAAGGCAAGTGTGCTTCGGCCTCAGAGCAACACACGAAAAAAACACATATACCCGGGGGAGGACCTGCAAGGGTTGCATGCACTTCAGCAAAAGCTTGTGCGAGCCTGACACTTGGTCTTCTATTCCAACAAACCTTGGGGCCAAAGACCCGTAAACAGTATGGGGGCTGGCATCATAGTAACAGAAGCCAGGCTTCGGCATCATGCAGCTCAACACATAAACCTTGTTGGTACCAACTTGCAGCACACAGCATCACTGCGTTTTTGGCTCGGAACCGCTGAAGTTACTACTCCCCCGCGCCGCCCCAAGTCCCCCGGTCCCTTATGTCCCAGCAGCACTCACGCATTGCTTCTTTGTCTCAGCAGCACCGACTATTATAGCAATGGCATGTATTGTTGGCCCTGAAAGTTGAAATTGCTACTCAGACGCAAGGGCAAGGGAGTAGTGGGCGGAAGTTTGTTTTCTGTAATTGCTACTGCCCCGCGCCCCGCCCCCCAGTCCCTCTTGGCTCTGTATGCCCCAGCAGCACAGACGCAGGGGAGTAGCAATTTGACCGGGTTAGGCCCTCCGACACCCAAACCCTCCAGTCGCAGGGTAGATCTTTCTAACAAGTAACTATGATGCATGTATGAAAGTATATAAGGAATACAACAGCTGGGTCTGCAGGGTGCGTCGCCCTTCGTACACTTCCTTCATCATCACCGTATAGGTCGTCGAGTCGTCGATATGAATTTGGACCGAGAGACGAAGCGACACCCAGACCGAGGGAGCGATGGGAGGCCCAGCCCAGCCTTGATCGTCCTGATAGGCGCCCCAGCCGTCTGGCAGCACGTCAGCCATCTCAGTCTCAGCACCTTCACAAAACGGGAACAAAAAACATCTGAGGCTGCTCTCAATCTCAGCGCATCCGCGGCTCCTCCCAGTTCGTCGACCAGAGATCCAAAGAGGATCGAAGGATGGACGGGATCTGAAAGGCTGCGCAGGCTGCGCCTTTTAAGCTGCGAGATGCTGCGAGCAGAAGAACACACATGGAGGCAGCTCAACATATTGCAACATATTGTAACAGATACAGGATTCTTTGGAGTACGAGCACATTCGCACGGCAGCTGGGCCCTCAACCAAGACTTCGGGGACCAGACATGTCGAGTATGCAAGGGACATGCCCTGCATCCACGAGATTTGCCGTCGCGGCCAACCTAGCATTAAGAGTGGAGAGACTGAATTTCTCTCCTATGTGAGGGCATGCACTGTTTCCGAGGGCGGTGTGTCGGTCCTCTCTGAACGCGCTCGTGCAGAGCGCAGAGGGGGGGAGGTGCATTTGCCAGGAGCGAATTCGTTGCAAAGCAGGTGCCGAGCGGGTTGGGAACCCGCCGGGAGCCCGCTGCCGTGCCCAGCGGCTGCGCAGCCTCACTGAGAGCCTCACAAGAGGGCGGGGATGTGGAAAAGCCGGCTTTTCTCTGGGTTTTTGTGCGCGATTGGGGCCCCAGCAAGTCGGCTGGCGGCTTAGGGCCTTGGATGCCTCGGCCGTCTTCTGCAGCAGCCTTCAGGGGACACATTTCCTGGCCCTCTCTGGCCTTTTTTCTGCTGCACTGAAGACAAAGAGCCCACCTCTGCAACCTCTCCCGAACCGTTCGAGCAGCCCGATCCAGCTCAAGGTCATAATCGGATGCTGGAGCTTCTGCTTCAGGTGCTGGAGCTTCTGGCCCACTCACATCTCTCAAACCTGCAGGGCACCACAGTTCAGAGACTGCTCCCCTTTAAACCTTATAGATGCAGCCCCGCAGCTCTCCGCTCCAGACAGGTACGCGCAGCGCAGCAAAGCCCAGAGATCTTCTCCCTCTTTCAGCTTCTCCGCCGTCGTTTTGGGTTGCCCAGCTGCACCCGGCTCGCAGGGTCCGAGCTCTTGCAACGCTGGTTCAGATTCAGATGCGCATCCCAAGTCTCGTTGTAGGCATCTTCCATTTTCGCTGCTTTCGCCTGCGAGCTTCTTCGCTGGCTCCTGTACACGAGGGCTGCTGCAAAGCGATCAAAGAAAAATGCCATGTTTGCGCGTTTTGCGCTGGTACCTTGGCCCAGGCCATCTGCACCAGAGCATGCAAATTTTGTTGCGGAGAGGGCCAGTGGATGTGGCCGTCTGTTCCGATATAACCTTGGGTTCCCCGGCTGCACTGCGTGTAGGCACGCACATGACTCGAGAACACGGCCATAGTTCTTGCACCATGATGATGTTGGCACCTGCTGCTTCGCCATAGAAGGGTAATGTGCAGGCCAGGCATTCGGGCACACGCCATGTTGCGCCTGGGCAGAAGGTTGCCTGGACACGTTCAGAGGCAGCTTAGCTGCTTCCCGTGTCCAAGACACCCAATCCACGTGGCCTACAAGGTGTGCACACGGCAAAGACAGCATCGCTGCCCTTACCGGGTCCCGCACCACTGTACTTCGCTGTCCGCATCTTGAGCAAGAGCTTGTCATCCGACGGTCCTGCAGTGGGCCAGCCGGCGTACCTTCCGATCCGAAGGTAAAAATGCGACTCTGCTTGTGAGCACCTCATTGCTCTCAGGTGACATGGGCAAGTCCGTCCGGATGTCCGTGCTCTCCTTGCTATTCCACCTGCTGTCAGCCAGCTCGAATGACATTTCAGAACTTTTCATAAACAAGCGGCTTACCAGGCTATTGGCAGAAGATTTTTGTTTCTTAGATGCCGCTCGGCATTTTGGTGCGGCTTGGCTCGGCTTGGTTTGGTCCTTCTTTCCTGTCCCGGGCACGGCTTGGCTTGGCTTCGTGCTGCTGGGCTCGGCTTGGCTTGGTTTGGTGGAGACACCACGGAGACAGAGACAAGCACATAGTTGAACATTACATGGTATAGCGGGACTCTTTTAACAGGCTTTTAACACTGAGCTCTCACTTGACCCCGGTCTTTTTGTTTGCCCCCGCCGCCCCCTCTCCGCTTCTTCTGACCCTGCTTAGTTTCTTTGTCACCCACTTGTCGCGCCGTCGACAGCACTGCGGGGTCTTGATTGGCAACGGGTTTTGAGAGATGTGGTCCCTCGACAAAACTACGAAAGGAAAGCACCCTCGCCCCCGGTCCTTCTTGCAGGATTTCGGCCTGAAATCGCTGAAATGGCAATTCGCCGGCTTCTGCAATGAGGACTGGGAGTGCACCGGGGTGGGTCCGCCGGGAATCATCATATTTGGAGGCAGAAAAACCGCGGGGCGAGGGTGTGCAGGGGAATTGGCGTTCCCGCGTGGAACATCGTTTGCGGGCCCAAATGCTGAAATCTCCTACAAACGCAAGCGGGATCGGCGCTCTTCCGCTCTTCAATGTCTATGTCTCTGTGATGTCTCCAGGTGTGCCAAAAGGCCCCCAGTTAGATCCAACTCTGCTTCAGCAAGCGCTTCCTGCAGTTTCCGAAATCTACCGCCCTAGGCCAAGCCGAGATGCCACGATGCTTCTGAGCGATGAACTGCATGCCTTCGTGCATTCGTCCACCTAGCACACCAGGCGACGGTTGCTTCAAATAACTTCACTGGCCATGAGCAGCTGCCTCTTTGGCACAGACATTGTGGCTGCGCAACGAGCCGGCAGCTTCAGGCAAACCAAATTCTTGCTGCTCGTGGACTAGACTCGGGCAGTACTTCTACATGATGTGCATGCGTAGCAGGTGGAGTTTTCCTCATCCGGTGGACCTTGCGCAGCGGATGGACCACATCCAATGTCATGCAGTCGCCAAGCGCTTGGCATGCGCTTGGGATGCAAAGGCTGGAGCTAGGTTCGACTCTGCGAGCAGCGAACGGATGCTTTCCGAATTTTATGCAGCAATTTGGGCAAGCTTTGCGGGCCTGCAACAGACGGCAGGCATGCGCTCCCACATCGGAGTATGGAATGCACAGCATGCTCAGCCCAAGGCATCAATCTAGGTGGTCCCACGGCTCGCACTGCTCGTGTGCATCCTGGGGTAAGCAATCAGGCTGTCTAGCGCAGCCGCAGGGATCATGCAGCGGATCCTGCCAAAGCGGATTGTGCCGTGACCATCATCGGAAGGAAGAGGACCAAAACCTTGAAGGGCAGCTCTGCAAACGGAAAGTCTGTCCGACCTCTAGAAGCTCGTTCTGACCACTCCGCTCCGCTGCAGGCTCACTGCAGTCATGTTGTCGCCACCAAGGCCATCCGTCAGTCGCAGGTCCGACGATAAGCAGCGGTCCAGCCTCAAAGCAGAAAACTTTGTGCAACGTCAGCTTGTATGTAGTGAATCTAGTGTCGTCTGCCGCAGGTTTTCCAGGGGGCGGTACAAGCGTGACAGGAGCTCCGACAATCGAAGTTGCCCCGATGCCAGTCGCGGTGCCCAGCCTCGCAGACGGGACTGCGGACCAGAGCCCTTTTTTCGCCTCTTCGGGCTTCTCCATGGGCCGTGGCTGCTGCGATCACCAAGCTCCTTTCTCAATTCTTGCTGAAGGGAGCTTATATCAGGGAGGTGCATGGAGTCCTTGCGGAGGAAGTCTACGGCTGCCTGGCTGCTGAGGACGTCCCAGACCTGCCACTGCCGAACTATGCCGCTGGCATTGTCCTTATGCTGACGGACGCGAACCTGGCTTAAATTTTCATTGGGCCCATCTGGCTTTTACTTATGCGAACCTAGCTAGTTTTTTCCTTGTGCTCCCCGGCCCCCCAGCCTTCCCCAGGAATTGTGGGGGGCCCACCAGCCTCAGTAAACCTGGATTTGTCTTCTGTTTCACCCCTCCCACGGCAGCCAGGTGCCTGTCTGTTTCACGTATCACTTGCATGTATCCCCATGGCTGTTGCTCAAGGTTCTAGCAGAGTACGATCTACAGCTGTGCGGGGCGCTGTGCACCTGTAGTAAAGGGTGACTCCTGCTTACTGTAAGCTTTGTGAGGGGATACACGCCCGGGTTACATCTCAGGGTGGGGGGGAGGGGCGCAGCCTCAATTTGCAGATACCAGGCCTTTATCTCTCTTCTTGATGGCACGATGCTCCTTAAAGCAAGCCTGCACGGCTAAAGTTCCAGAAGCCGCTGTCCAAAAACAAGGCCTATATGATGGACTTTAATTAAACTGTTCCACAAGAGTTCTGTGCTTGACGGCGCGATGTTCTTCAGCACAAGCTTGCACAAGCCATATGCACCCCTCAACACACAGGCACACAGTTAAAATTCTAAAAAACACAAAAGCTCTTGCGAAACCTGACATTCGCCATTTGGCACTTTTCAAAAGAAAATCGCAGAGATGTTTCTTCGAGCTGCCTGTTCCTTCGGGCCATTACCTGGTCTCTTGGAGAAGCTCCAGCTCTGGCCTGAGATTTGGCAAAAGAAGCCTCCGCCAACCGAGGGCTTGGCCCGGGGTCGAAAACATCACCTGAACCCTCTCTGCATCGGCCGGGCTCTGTACAGCAAAAGTTTAAAAAAACAAGTCAAAAATATTTCATATATATATATAATATATCTATATATATATATTATATTATATATATATATGCCTTAGCAGGGCATACAAGAAAAAGCCAGGCTCGCATAAGAAAACGCCAGGTGCGCAGAAGGACAACACCAGGTGGGCCTGAGAAAGAGAAAGGTGGGCACAAGGGGGGAAGCCAGGAGATCCCAGGAGACTAAAACGAAAACTCTTCGCATAACACCTGAAGCCATAGCCGCCTAATAATCTTTGGGTTGTCGAATTGTAGATATCGGGGTCCAAGGAGCTCCACAGAAGGACTTATGCAGCGATACAGCAGCGCCAACC